TCTACCCTGGGCCCACAAGGAGCTCCCTACAACAGCAGATGGAGGGACAAGCTTCCCCCAGAAGGATCCCTCCCAGGGTCTGGGGGCTCTCCCTACCTTTCTGTGATGGTCAGAATTGGTCCTCTCTATCCTGATTTATCTCTGCTTCCAGAAACTCATGCATGTGGATGTGTAGTTACATTCTATAGTGGGATAGTGGGACTAGAGTGGGTCCCTGACTCCCAGAGGGTCAAACCCCTCAACTATACAATGAGTCACTGCCACAGAGGTGTTTCTATCCTTGGGGAAGCTAGTGGACTGGTTTGGGAGAAGAAGGTAGCCTTCAGTGACCTTGCCTCAGGAAATAGGTTAATGATGAATCTGTGGTTCTAGGAGGCCTCTGGGCAGCAGCAGCAGGAATGGTCCGGACCCCCGGCCACTTGATTCTAAAACTGAGCCTTTGGCTAATGGCATCGTAATATTGCATTTGTTAAAAAACAAAATTCAACTGAAAAAAATTTAAAGTCTTATGGGCATTATTCAGCAATTCATGAATTGAGCAACATCCTATCTAGCAGAAAGGAGCTCCGAAGAGCTGAACAAAATGGGAGATTTTATAGGCAGAAGGGGACAGAGACAAGGAAAAAGTGGTTACCTCATCTTTCTTTGGAGGCAGAAGGGGTCTATCAGGCGGATTACCTCACTAGTGCTAACCAGGAAGTTCCAGATTTAATGGTTTAAGATTACAGTCCTGGGGGAGGTTGAAACTGCAGTTAAATTAGGTATTAAGTCTCAATTTGGTGATGTGGATTTAGCCCAAGTGACTCTGTTTGGGGCGTGTTGTCCGTCTGTCTGTCTGTCTCTTAACACATTATATATAAAGGGAGTGGTATTCATTTAGTTTGTCCCTTTAATAAGTGAAGTTTAGTAGTAGTGCCAGCAATACAAACATAAATATGATGAGGTACTTGTCTTCAAAGAACCCATAGCAATGTCATGATTAATCTCAGAAGTTGCAAACTGATGGTCTACAGATATGTTTATTTGGCTGGCACAGTGTTTAAGTTTTTAAAAATTAGTTGCCAACCTTTTAGTATGGGAGATTTCTTATAAAAACCTGGATTTCTGGCTTCTCTTGGAAAACCAACATGGCAACATTAGATCTATACCCACCACTTCCCATGGAACTTATACCAGTGCCCACTTCTTATGTCACTTGCCTGGTCATTCGGGCATTTACCCTTGAGACCCTTGTAGTAGCAGCAAGAGGGGAGCAATTAATTTTGGAAGCAAATGAGAGGGTGGGTAAAGTCTTCTCAGATGGAGTGACTTCCCAGATGCCATCTTGACAACCTGATTGGGAGATGGTAGTGGTCATATGAGGCTGTGGCAGGGAAGGTGGGATGAGATGAGTGTCATATAAGCTGCAAGTAAGCTGCACTTGGGTTTGGCTTCACGGCACAGTGAATGTGAATCATGGACAGGAATTCCTGGTCAAGTGTTCCAGCAGGAAGATGAAAACTGAACTAAATTCGGGAGAGAAGTTAGGTTTGAAGGCCTTTGTGTCAAATACAAATGCTGTTGTTTGGGGACCGGGGATCCTTTTGAAATGCAGATTTCCATCCAGCACATCTGGGGAAGGGAGAGAGACTCTGCATTTCTAACAAGCTCCTGGTCCCTGGGCTACACTTTGAGCTGTTGGGGCTTAGAGCACAGGCTGCCATCTAGTGAGCTGTGGGCCAGATTTGGCCTAGGAAATAAACTTCTCTGGGTTCCATAGTGTTTACATTTTAAAAAAAATAGTTGTTACTTGAAAATCAAGCATTTTCACATAAAAACCTGAATTTGTCTTCTTTACTCATCATTCTCTATCACATTACTAAATTTTATTTTATTTTTTAGTATTTTTCATAATAGACTCTTGCTTGTTAGTTGTATTTTTCTTGTTTGTTGTGCATCTTCACTAGGCTATGAACTCCATGCAGACAGGGGCCTTGTCTTGTTTACCCGGTTGCTTGTCTTGTTTGCAAAGAGTTTATCCTCTATATGTTAATTATTTGTTGAGTGAATTAGCAAATCAACTTTCCTGTGTGCTCACAGTGATTGCCACAGTCCACACTTGGCCCTCTTCACTCACTTAAGTTACCTCCTGAGAAAGGTGGAGTCAGGACATGTCCTTGGGAAAACCCTAAGGTTTAGGAAATCTGAGGGGAGGGAAGAGGAACGAGGGCAGGAAGGAAGACTAGGAGAGTAAGGTCCCAGAGGCCAAGGGAAGAGAAGTGGGGTGGTGGGCATCAGTGCTGCTTGTGAGGTTGGAGGGAGCTATTGGCCTTCAAGAAAGCAGGAGAGAAAGGCACTATAGAGAAAGAAAGCATGGGGGCTGTATTTTAGGATTGCAACTGAGCTTTAGGAAGTTTTTGGGGGAGGGGAGTTAGTTTTGAGCCCTTGCGTAGACCATAGTATAAGGACCTAGTGGAGAGAAAGAGAGCAAAGATATAAAAAAGAGTGGGAACTGGGGCGCCTGGGTGGCGCAGTCGGTTAAGCGTCCGACTTCAGCCAGGTCACGATCTCGCGGTCCGTGAGTTCGAGCCCCGCGTCGGGCTCTGGGCTGATGGCTCAGAGCCTGGAGCCTGTTTCCGATTCTGTGTCTCCCTCTCTCTCTGCCCCTCCCCCATTCATGCTCTGTCTCTCTCTGTCCCAAAAATAAAAAAAATAAAAAAAATTAAAAAAAAAAAAAAAAAAAAAAAAAAAAGAGTGGGAATAATGGGTGCCATCCCAGTTTAGGGTAGGTGGAAGGTCAAGATGGGCCACAGGTGGAAAGGAAGAATGAAAAAAATCCTTCCCTTAGGATACGGGGGAAGGGGCAGGGATGGCAAATTCCCAAGAAAGGTGTGCTCCTTATAGGTCTCCTTTTAGGGGAAAACTCTAAAAACTTTTGATATAATGAAACAGGTAATGTATAAATATTAATGTAGGTTTGGAAATGCATCCAGTTTAATAAATAATTTGTCCTTAATGGAGTTTAAAGCAGCATAGGTATTTTGTCTTTGATTCTGCAGCCTCCTGTTCCTTTCAAGACTTTTCCAGAAGCACTGGTTTGGGTAATATCTTGATGGTTGATGAAGTATTTGGTAATTGAACAAGACGAGAGCTATGTTGTCTCCAGGGCTGAGGGGGAAAGGTGAGAGAAATCCTGCCACTTTCGGGGTTTGTGGATGGGAGGGTTAAAAGGACAATAATGAGAAAGCTAGCTTAATCTTCAAGGCCTGGTACTTGTCTTGATTTTATTGTTTTGTGTGTTTTCACCTCGTGGAACTCAATAAATATCTTCTCCGTGAACAAATAAGTGTAAGGTCAGATGCTGTACACAAGAGTTAAAGAAATTACATTTTCTGGAAAAGCTAGTGGAATTAAGTGCAGGTTTCCACAGTTGCCTCCCCCCCCACCCCCATTTCATTTCAGTCATAAGGGATCCAAGAGGCTTTAGCCCAAGGTCTTCCTTCAAGGCAGTAAGTGGATACATTTTCCCTATGACAAGACTGCGTAGCCTGTCACAACCAGGCTGTTGGCCTTCTGTGGGACTTAGCCTAGCTGGTGTTCTGGTAACCTCTGCTATAACTGGCCGATCTCAGCTCTGACTAGTCACCACCAGCTGAAGCATAACGAGTGACTTCTAGAGTTTGGCTGGTTTGTAATGTTGGCTGGGCTGGGTTAAATTAGGCAAGTTATTTTACTTCTTGGCGACTCTGTTTCCTCAAATGAAAAATGAGAAGAAAATTATTTCCTGTCTCATAGGATTTTTTTGAAGATTGTATAAAAAATAGGGGCGCCTGGGTGGCGCAGTCGGTTAAGCGTCCGACTTCAGCCAGGTCACGATCTCGCGGTCCGTGAGTTCGAGCCCCGCGTCAGGCTCTGGGCTGATGGCTCGGAGCCTGGAGCCTGTTTCCGATTCTGTGTCTCCCTCTCTCTCTGCCCCTCCCCCATTCATGCTCTGTCTCTCTCTGTCCCAAAAATACATAAAAAACGTTGAAAAAAAATTAAAAAAAAATAATGCAGGTAGGAATGTATAACATGATGACTATGGCTAACACTGCTGTATCATCTACAGAAAAGTTAAGAGACTAAATCTTCTCATCACAAGGAGAAAAAATGTTTTGCCTTTATTCTTTTCTTCTTTTATTTTTATTGTATCTATATTTGAAGATGGATGTTAGCTGGACCTACTGGGGTAATCATTTCACAATATATGTAAATCAAGTTGTTACTCTGTGTGCCTTAAACTTACAGAGTGATGTAGGTCAATTATTTCTCAATAAAACTGGAAAAAGAGTGAAGGTAAAGCATGCAGGAGGGTGTCTTGCACACAATACTTAATGAATGTTAGCTGTTATTATTGGAGATTATAGTTGCCTTTGATTAATAAATATGGGTAAAGCATACTTTTATTTACTAAACTTAATTTGACATTCTTTGAAAATATTGCGTGTGTGCATGAGCGTGTTGTGTGTACATAGTAAATGAGAGAGGTGAGGGGAGGGGTTGAGAGATAATGAGGCTGAATTGTCGTGGTGAAAGGTTCGCAGTCACCTAGACCGATACACTATTACAACTGAGGATGCCCTGAGAGGTGAAGTGACTTGCTCAAGGTAATACCACTAGTAATGGCAAAAACAAGTCTACATACTGCTTTTTTATCCCCAATTCAGTGCATTTTCTAATACCCATTTCCAGGCATTGCTTGTTAGTGTTTCGGAAATCTTCCCGAATTATGTTCCAGTTAAATTTTGTCCCAGTAAACAAAAGACCTAGAGTTTGGACAAGAACAGCAGTCCGCTCGCCCAGTAGGTGGCGCAAAGGCGCTGTTTCCGGGCTTAGTGGAAGCTGGAGGGGGCGGAGCTTGTTCGGAAATGGGGCTACGTAAGCCTTCCTTTAATTGGCCCAAGAGCCTCGGCCCACTATCCAATCAGAAACGCCTGCGTCATTCTGTTACTGGGCTAGGCGGCAGCCCGCGGAAATTTGAAATGGCTGACGGGTTGCTGGCGGCTGGCGGGCTGGGGTCGCAGGCGATGGTTCCCCAGCCGGAGCGCACGGGCTGGGCGGTCGAGGAGTCGACAGCGCCTCTAGAGAAAGGTGAGCACCCGTTATGCCGGGCCCGAGGAGCCGCCTTCTAGCGGCGGACCCTTTCCGCGGGGTCCTGGGGGCGTCGGGACTTTCAAAGGGCGCCTGGGTCTTATTTGGGCTTCCGGACCCAGCTCTCAAGGGTGGCGGTGGTGACAGTGCGAGGCTCCGACTGCCCCTCAGGACGCCAAAGTCGGGAGGTACCCTGGGCATCTCCCCTTCTCCCCGCCCCATCTGGCTTCAGCTTCCGCGAGACTGGAGGGAGTTGAGCCTGGCCAGGAATTTCCAACCTGGATATCTGGGTGGGCTTCCGGGTGCTTTGTGCGTGTTCACCTGTGGAGAGACGTCTCCTATTTTTCATCTCCAGCTCAAGGTAGATCATGAACCATTCTCCCTTAACTGAAAGATAAGAAACTTGAACCCTTGGCCTGGGTAGCCCTGCGCACCGAGAGTAGGTGACACGCCCAAAGTTAGGGGAGCCAATATGGGACAGTCTAAAAATAGAACCGAAGTGTAATTCTCAGTCCTGTCTACCTCTTTGTGGAGATTTCCGTTATTATTATTTGTCCTGATATTTTTAAGCTGTTCAGAATTTTCCTTTAACATTTGCAGTTGGATTGTGTAGTGGAAAGAGACTTGGCAAAGTGAGAAAACATGTATGACTTAATTCCACTAGTAATCCCTCTTGTGACCTGGCAAAAGTCACTTGGCCTCAGTTTTCTTTTCTGGAAAACAGAGCCAATGGTCTTAATAGAATGTTGAAGATTAAGTGAAATAATGTGTGAAAAGTAATGCTTTCAAAGTGGCGGTAAAGAATTGTGCTGAAGTAAGGTATCCTTTGCTTTTTTGTATTGTGTTAAAATACACATAAAACAAAGTTTACTGTCTTAATTTTTAATTGTACAGTTCAGTGTTATTAAATATATTCAGACTGTTATGCAGCCATCACCACCGTCCATTCCCATAACTCTGTTATCTTCTAAACTGAAACTCTATTCCTATTGAATAATAATTTCCCATCCTCCTCTCCCTCATCCCCTGGCTATGATCATTATACTTTCTGTCTTTATGATTTTGACTAAGTACCTCATTATCAGTGAAATCACACAGTATTTCTCTTCCTGTTACTGGCTTATTTCATTTAGCATCATGTCCTCACGGTTCATCCATGGTGTAGCAGATGTCAGCATTTCCTTCCTTTTTCATTCATTTCCTTCCATTCATCCATTGATGGACACTTGGATTGCTCCCACCTTTTAGCTATTGTGAATAATGCTGCTATGAACATGGGTATACAAATATCTTTTGGAGGTCCTGCTTTCAGTTCTTTTGGATATATACTCAGAAGTCAAATTGCTGGGTCATAAGGTAATTCTATTTTTAGGGTTTTGGGGGACCACCATACTGTTCTCCATAGCAGCCGTACCATTTTACATGCCTACAACAGTTTACAAGAGTTCCTCCTTCTCCATATCCTCACTAACACTTGTTTCCCTGATAGTTTTTCTTGTTGTTTTTTGATAATTGCCATCCTAATGGGTGTGAGGCAAAGGTATTATTTCTTTAACATTTATATATACTATTTATATATTACTGTTGTGATTAATAAATAATGTAATTATCTTAATTTAATTGAAATAAGCATGCTATTTTCATCTTTCCTTTATAGGAGAGGAAATTGACACACAGAGAGATTGCCCCACAGCTAGTGAGGTATTGATGCCCTTTTAGTTTCATGTGCATTGGCATTTGTGAGCAGTAGACCTCTGAGTACACTGTGGGTCATTTGTGAGGTCAAGTAGCTCTGGTGGCCTGAACAGAAGCAAAGAAGTCAAAGCAAGGAGAAAATACATGGAGCTGGGGGGTGGGGTGGGAAGACTGCTGTTAATAACAGTCTCAGATAACCTATGGAAATTATTTAGCCAGCTTAAATGCTACCCTCTGCATTGTTTATTTAGTAGCCATTTTGTCTATTAAAAACATCGCATTACACAGATTTAGATATTCCACTGGCCAAATCATGCCTTATAAAACATAATTACATACAGCCCAAACCTAATGTGATTAGCATTTTCTAATCTTTTCCTTAGACATAGTTACTGAAATTAGTGAGGAGGAACCTAGTAGCTTTAGCGAAGTAAACCTTATGCATTATTAAGAATTTCTTATCCTTGTTTATTGAGGGGCCATTGACAGACTGATATTGAAGAAAATAAAGAAAGGCTTCAACTTGTTTTGAGAAGGACTATAGGAAAGCAGCTCCTAACTTTAATGAAACTTTATGGAATTGTTTTGGGGAAAAAAATACTGTAAGATATTTGACCATTATTATAAGTTGCTAGCTACAGTAAGAATCACAGCTTTATTCTTTAAAGGAGATCTTTGGTAACTTACAGTGAATCAAAAACAACCCTTTTCCTCTGCCTCTTTGAAAAACTTCACAGAACAACAAAGACCTAACCTATGAAACATTTTAAGTTCTTACTGTTTCAAAGTAGAACTTGGTTTTTGTGATATTTTCAAGTTTGGAAAACTGGTTTCTTATGACAGTGATAAAGGTAAATAAAGCATTGCTCCCAAATCCTTGTTTATATTTTGTTTGGAGTTTCTAAGCCTGCTTTTTTTCATTGTTCTTGTAGCTCTGTTCCAAGATGAAGATTCATGCAGTGATTGTAGCAATCATGATAAGCGGGGTACTAGTTTACAAAGTTTTGTGCCTGAAGGAAAGACTCATTTCCCAGAAATATTCCAGACAAGTCAACTTTTGTTCTATGAGCGATTCAGAGCTTATCAAGATTACATTTTAGGTAAGTAGGGTTTTTTTTTTCTTTTTTACTGCTTTTATCTTTTCAGTTTACATGTAGATTGTTTATCTCAGTCCCCCAGACTTGCCAGTTGATTCTGAGAAAGTGGATTTAAGTAGATTTGTTAACTTTTCTCTGCTTTATGCAGTCTCAATTCTTATTGTGTTTAATTTGTTTGTAGCTGACTGCAAGGCCTCTGAAGTAAGAGAATTCACAGCTGAGTTCTTGGAGAAGGTCCTTGAACCATCTGGATGGCGGGCAGTCTGGCACACTAATGTGTTTGAGGTGCTGGTTGAGGTAAATTTAATTCTGTTGTTAAGGCATTTGTCTCTTGCTAAAAGCACTTTCCTTCAGAGTGTTACAGCCAAAGTGCTTATTTTTAATTAAAGTTTATGAGCTGATTGAAAATAGCATGTTTTTCACATCTAATTGTCATGGTGTATGGAATGTTCCGCAAATTTTAAAGGCAGCCAAGGAGGAGTTACCAGGGAATTGAGGTGGTGTAAGTTTCAGTGTCCATTGACAAGGGGAAATGGTTTATAAATCTATGAAGTGGAGGAGGTATTTGAGACCATTTAAGAAATAAAGAGGCCTCATTATGAAGTCAACTGAGTTTCAATTAATTTTTTACCTTCTTAGTTGTAGCCCATTAAGTAGCTCAAACCCAACAAGCATTTAAAAACTGGCCTATTTTTTTGCCTAACAAATTTGTAGATATGTGGTTAATCTCTTGATAATGTGTCCCATTGTCAAAAGTAAAAACAATCTTATTTTTCAGCTGACTGGGCCTTTTACACTAAATTTGCACTCTAATTACAGCTGTGAATTTTTCTCAGTGTTTGTTAACTAGACCACAAAAAACCCTGTTAAACTAAAATGTTAAACCAGGGAGTAAGAATACAAGTTGTTGCTGCAGCTCCTTTTTAAAATGACATCACTTTCTGCAGTGATTATGTATGAGGCAGTAGGTGGCAGCTGTTCCTGGGGACTTTTGAATTTTGGATTATGCTAATATCTTTGGTTGCAGTAAAGGCCTATTAATTTGAGTATGATAGTGTCGTTACAATCCATGTCTTCTGTCCATGTTCAATCTCCCACCTCTACCCTGACTTATTCTCTAAAAGTTATCAAAGTCATTGTTTTAAAAGAGAAATGTGCCATTCCTCTGCTTAAAACCTCTAATGCATTGCATTTACTAAAGCCTTGGTGTTGGCTTTGTGGTTTCTCTTTATCTAGAGAACACAAAACCCAAGTTCCTTTCAATGCCTTTTCTGTCCTGATCTCCTTGCCCCTCTCTCTCACTTCATCTACTGCTGCCCCTTCCCTTGCCCATTTCTTCCCTTTGGTTCCAGCAAGAAACACTGCCTTTCTCCTGCTCCAGCAGCCAGTCTGCCACAGGGCTTTTTCACCTGCCTGATCTTCAGATGGCTGCTTCCCTTTCATCCTATACTTTTCCCTACCATCCCAGCAAAACCAGACCATCACCCCTGCTAGTTACGCTTTGTCAAATGCTTATCACAGTCTTGTTTGTCTTCTCAATTCTCAATTACAATGTAAGCTCCATATGGGTAAGAACCAGGCCCTTCTTGTTTATTTTTTATATTATGGAAGAAGGCTCTGTGTTCCCATTTCATGCTTTAAAAAATCAGGCTATAAGTAGTGTTTTATATTTGTCTTAATTTTTATTTCCATGTAAGTAATATTTTAAATTTCAGGTCACAGATGTGGACTTTGCAGCCTTGAAGGCAGTAGTGAGGCTTGCCAACCCGTACCTCTGTGAATCTCAAGTGAGCACTTTTACCTTGGATTGTATGAATGAGCTCCTCGATCTGAAGGAACATCGGTTGCCCCTGCAAGAGCTGTGGGTGGTGTTTGATGATTCTGGAGTATTTGACCAGACAGCTCTTGCAGTTGAACATGTCAGGTAGGAAGAGAGTTGATAAAAATAACCTTGTGGCCTGAGACTGGATGAAATGCAGTAATTCTGGTCTGCATTATATACCTAGATTTAAAACTCAAACTATAAAGTTGGTCATTGCAGTATTTTAAAATGTTCAAAGATAGGGAAATCTTTTTTAAATTAAAAAAAATTTAAAAAAGATTTTAAGTTTTCATTTTGAGATAATTTCAGACTTATAGAAAAGTTGAAAAAAAAAACCCAAAGAATTCCTGTATGGCCTTCATTCAGTGTCCTCAAATGTTAACAAAAGATACGGGATTCTTCATTTGGTTTGTATATGTTTAGAAACTCTTAAAAGTTCTGGAGGCTAAGGCTTATGATTAAAGTACTTGAATATGAAGAAAGGAAAGAAAGTGAAGGAGGTGGTACACTATGTCTTCTACACCGATAAGACACATTTTTTTCCCAAGAATGTATCTGACCAAAGATGTTTTCTCAGGCCGCTTCCAGGATACTTAGGGGATACTTATAGTGATTCAGCAGTTCCATTTATCACCCAATGCCCATCAAAAGTGCTCTCCTTAATCTCCATCACCTATTTCACCCATCCCCTCATTCACCTCCTTTCTGTTAACCATCATCAGATAAATCTTTTGTCAGATAGTTCCTGATACAGATAGTTCTTTTGAATCTTCTTTATTATAAGTATATTCACTAAGGAAGGCTGACTTTTGATTATTTAAAAATGGACTTTTATTCCTCTAGGAGCTGGGAGACTGGATTATAGTAGCATAGTGTCTTGTAGTTTTCACTTTTTATGCCATTAGTGAGTTAACCTGGTTTTGCTGAGCTTAATTTCGATGTTCCACAAAGAAGCAGAGTGTTTCGGGCCCAGCTTCCAAGATCTTATGGAAAATTTCTAATTGTACACAAGAACTTTTAACCCTAGATATTCAGTATTTGGCCAAGCAATATAAATCTAAAGAACTGGCTTCTGTTCAGAACCAGTTTCTCTCACTTGAAAAAAATCTGTCAACTGAAGCCTTTGAAGGTAAAGGGATAATTGATGAGTTTAGGAAATTAGGAATCAGGGAATGAAGCTTTATGGGTATTGAAGTTGGTAGAAAGACAAGTATCTGGAATTAGTAATGGTATTTGAAGGTGAGCCTGGCTAAATTTATTCTTCATTTTGAGGACTCAGATTCTGGTCAATGTCCAGAAAAGTTATGAGGGTTCTCGTTTGTTTATTTTTTTTTTTTTTATTTTTTTTTTCAACGTTTTTTATTTATTTTTGGGACAGAGAGAGACAGAGCATGAACGGGGGAGGGGCAGAGAGAGAGGGAGACACAGAATCTGAAACAGGCTCCGAGCCATCAGCCCAGAGCCTGACGCGGGGCTCGAACTCACGGACCGCGAGATCGTGACCTGGCTGAAGTCGGCCGCTTAACCGACTGCGCCACCCAGGCGCCCCTCGTTTGTTTTTTACAATGAGTATTCAAGTGCTGGGTCCTGATTTGATTGGTGCAAGAAACAGACACAATCACCACCACCAGCAGGCTTCATTCTAAAGGTGGGAGATGAATCTTAATCACATGAAGGTATAAATGTGATTGGAAACTGCAGTGAGTGCAATGAAGAATTAGAGTGTTCTAAGACTAGGTCAGGTGGCTGTTACATGGTTGTTTCCTGAGGAAATGACATTTGAACTTGGGTCTGAAGGGTTGGCTACGTGAAAGGGGTGTGGCAAGGGTGGGGAGGGAACAGGTTCAGGAGCTGAGTGAATTTAAGGAACTGGAAGGCCACTATAGCTGGAACACAGACAGTAATGGGGAAGACTTATGAAACTAGCTTAGAGGTTGTCAGGAGTCAGAAGATGTGGGACTTCATCGGCCAATTAATCATTTTATCTGTAAAAGCACTGTGGAAGCACTGAAAAAGGTTTTTATTCAAGGGTGAATAGGATCAGCTTTGTGTTTTAAAAGATTTGTTCTGGCTGCTGTGTGAAAAACAAATGGAGGGAGATGGAATAAGAAGATCGGGCAAGAGAGTGGGCTAGAGTGGGGTGTGGAGAGGACACATGGAAGCTTACTGAGAAGGTAGGATGGCTGGGACTTGGTGGCCGAGTGGATGTGGGGGATGAGGAGATATGAGTGGATAAGCCAGAAGTTAAGGTTTTGGTCATGAGAGAATAAACACTGGAGGAGGTGCAGATGTGAGTGATGTGTGTGAATGCCCAGTATGGTACTGGTGAGGATAATACTTGAGCTAAGTCTTGAAATGTAAATATAAGTTCACCAGGTGGAGAAGGTGGACAGCCTGACCAGCATTTCACATGGAAGTTTGAAAGACCTTGTGAAATGGGAGTTTGCATGCAGGAGGTCTGACAAGAGAGGTGCTCTGTAGCCAGATTGTGAATCCAAGTAATACCGCCAAGCTCAGGAATTTGAACTTCGTTGTGAGGGCAGCAGCCAGCAGAGTTTTTTTAACTGAGTAAACGCATGCTCAGGTTCTTTTTGTTTTGTTTTGTTTTTTTGAGATGACTAGAGGGTGAAGAGACCGGCAGTCCAATCTACAAGAATTAAGAGATGGCTTTATTTTCACTGCTTCTTCCTTTTCATAGCAGAACTTTTTTTTTTTTTTTTTTTAATGCTTATTTATTTTTGAGAGATAGAGCACTAGTGAGGGAGGGGCAGAGACAGAGGGAGACACAGAATCTGAAGCAGGCTCCAGGCTGTGAGTGGTCAGCACAGAGCCTGATGTGGGTCTCGACTCATGAACTGTGAGATTATAACCTGAGTCGAAGTCGATCGCTTAACCCAGGTGCCACCCACGTGCCCTCACAGCAGAACTTCTTGACAGAATTCTGTGTAGTCACAGTCTGCACCTCCTGGCATTCCAGTAATGCTTCTGCCCCACAGCACCACTGAAATTGTGCTTAAGGTCACCAAAGTCCTCCATGTTCTCCTTCCCAGTCGTCTCTTTTCTGATCTCATCTTGCTTTCCCTCTTGGTCACATTCGAGTTATTTGATCACTCCCATCTTCCTAACACACACTCTTCCAGCTTCTTAGTCATCTTGGCTCTTCCTCTCTTGCTCAAAACTTTAAAATGTTGGAGTTACCCAGGGATCGGTCCTATACTATCTACCCTTCTCTCTCTTTAATCAGCCTTGGAAGCACATTAGAATTACCTGGGAATTGCTTTTGTTTTTGTTTTTTTAAATATTTATTTCAGGGAGAGCGCAATCAGAGGAGGGGCAGAGAGGGGGTACAGAGGATCTGAAGTGGGCTCTGCACTGACAGGCTGACAGCAGCAAGCCCAATGTGGGGCTCGAACTCATGAACTTCAAGATCATGACCTGAGCCAAAGTCAGACGTTCAACTGACTGATCCTCCAGGTGCCCCTGGGGATTGTGTTTTATAGGAGTAGTCCAACTAATACATGAAGAAAGAATGATAGGATCAGAATATCACTATTTTGCAACTTGTAATAAAATAAAGGTTCTAGGCAATAATTGTGGTTGGCTGCTACAACCATTGGTGAAAAACTGATGGGGAACTCTGTAGTAGATGGATCCGGTTGACAACACCTGAATCCACTGGTCATTCTTAACCTCATCATCAGAAGAGATGACCAGGTATCTTATGCTTCCTGATGGAAGTACATTGTGTCCGCCTTTAAGTATCCTTGCCAAAACATCTTTCCCAAAGCTGATCAAGTCTTTAGATCTTACTTTCTGTTTACCAGAAGTAAAAGAAGCGGAAGAACATGTTAAATGACCCCATGGGGATGCAATCAATAAAATTCAGAGTGTGGGAAACTTAAATTGCAAAGAGAAAAGGAGGGAGGGATAATCTATAGAATAACTGTGATTTAATTAAATGCAATAGCTGACCCTTGTTTGGATCCTGATTTGAACAAGCCAATGATAAAACAATAACAGCAACAATAGCAGAAGAGACAGGGAAAATTCAATACTGACTGGATATTTGGATATTAAGAAATTATAACACTTTCTTGGTGTAAAGATTTATTTTAGAGCTATATGCTAAAATTTGTGAATGTTGTATGTTTGACATTTGCTTTAAAGTAAATCCAGTGTTGAGATGGTGGGGGTGGGGAGCAGAGAAGTAAGTGGGTAGGGTAGAGATGAAATAAAATAGCCTATGCATTGATAATTGTTGAAGCTGGTTAATGCATAAACGGTGTTCATGATACTACTTGCTCTTGTGGATGTTTGAAATTTTCCATAATAAAAATTTGTTCAATCGCTTGGGGGGGAGGGGTTAAAAAAATATGGATCTTGCACCCAACCCCTGTGCCCCTCCTGCCTTTTGCAAAGGTTCTGATTTATCGGTCTGGGATAGGTTTGGGAATCAATTTTTAAAAGCTTCCTGGGGAACTCTAACATGCAGAATCAGGTTTGAGAACTGCTGTTTTATATTATTTCCTTAGATGATCTCATCTGTTGCTTTAATGTCATCAATATGCTGACAACTCCTAGATTTATGTCTTTAGCTCTGATATTTCCCTTGGGCTTTGGGCATATATATTCATATTCGCTCTTGACATCATCCACTTGGAGGTCACATAGGCATCTCAGTTCAAACTGTTTTCAACCCCAAACCTTTTTCTCTCCCAGTCTTTCCTATCTTAACAAATGACACTACCATCTACCCAATTACAGATGGTCAATAAATAGTTCTTCTGATTAAAAAGAGGTGGTAATGGAAACAGTGTTGTAGAAAACTTCTTCTTTAGTCAATCTAAAAAAGTTCTTGGATGACTCAAAACTATCAAGTCTAGCATTTATGCAGCATTCTCTATCATCACTGATACAGTTGTTGTGATTTACTCTTTAGCTTGCACTCTCCAAAACCCTAACACTGAGCCAGTGATTAATTTGAATGATATGAGTTTCCTTTTCAGATTTTTCTATCAAAACATTTGGAGGAGCTGGGATGAAGAAGAGGAGGATGAGTATGATTATTTTGTCAGATGTGTTGAACCTCGATTGAGATTGTAAGTATTTGCTAGTGACCTTGTCCATGTTGGAAAAAGAGCTGTCCATGGTTTATTTTACCTGTCTGGTGTATGTTACTCCAAGGGCCCACACACAGAAGCAGGCCGCTATACAAATAGGATAACCCATTGATGAGTTATTAAATGAAACCTGTACGAATGCAGAGAAACCTATTTTTAGTGTTTATGCACTTGAGTCTAAAAGCTGAGTTCAGGGACACTGAAATTAAACAGCTCACTGTTTTGTAAGTCTGAATAAAACTCAGTTTGAGCTAATGTGTTTAAAAGAAACCCTGTGTTAAATTCAAAGACAATTATTTGAGAAATAGAGAAGTTAGTTGAATTATAAGATATTTCTTTTGCTTTAATTTTTTAAAAGAGTACTTTTAAAAATATTTGGCTTTATTCTAAGTTCCTATAGTAAAAGACACTGGGCTAAACTAACAGAATTATCTCAGGATGTTTTGTCAAGTTCTTGTCCTTAAATCTTATTTGACAAATAGATAAAAATACTAAACAATTAATATTGGTGGTGCATAAAAGTATACTAATTACTGAAACACAATCTTCTTCTAAGAAGAAGAAGAATTGTCATATTTTTATAGGGAAAAACACATTACAAAAAATGTAACTTAACTATGCAACCCACATGGTATTCAGATTTCCACTAGATGGTACTCTAAGACCAGGTAATTTTCTTGTATTCATGAGTGGTAATTTAATAGGCAGTGCTGCAGTAAGAATAAAATTAGAACTTGCACTAAAAAAAAAAAAATTATAGAAGGTGATTTTTTTTCCCTGTGTGAAAGATGATTTTGCTACATAAGGTAAGGCAGTAACCCTTTACATTTTCGTGGAACCCAAATAGATTTGGTAAATTTCTCTTGATTTACATAGTAAATAATAAGTAAAAAACATGTGAAAAGTATGGTTAATGGTTCCTCCTGGTTTAGAATTATGTGTGATTTCTATTTAGCCTTTCCAGTTTTTCCATCATGCATTTCCTATTTTCCCATAACGTATTCAATAAAATGCCAGAATTTCAATAAGCTTGCATATTTTCTAGTTTTGTTATGCTTGCTCTTAGAGAGCAATGATTGGTTTTGATTGAAGTGAAATGTAATGGTAGGTGAATAATGTGTATCTAGCAAACTTGATCTTTACTTGGAAAAGACTGTATTCTGATTTGACAGCTTTACATGTTCAAACAACAAGAGATGATTTACATATTTACCTTTTACATCCCTGGCAGGTAAGAAAGTGTAAGGGAGGAATTGTTTTAAGTTATGGAGAAGAAAACTATGGTACTTGATGGGGAAACTGGAATGTTATCAAATGTAGGCAGACTCTTTAAAAAGGTCCCTGGGCAAAGAGAGGAGTAGCGTTATGAACATGCAGGATTTAAAGGGAATCAAACCATACTGTCTTGATTTTGCACTGTGAGGTAAATATTTTTCCTTTTTAATTCAAAACGCTGTACTTCAAAGCTTATGGGTCTGAGACACAGATGTTGGTTCATTGCTTCCAGACCACAAAGTATCACTTTAATGAGAAGACATAGCTGATTGGCATGGATATTGGAAATGCTAAGAAATTTATTTTAAAATTTGAGTCTTAATCTTCATAACTTAATAGACCTGATCAAGCAGTCAGTGGTTTGGTTCCCAATTTTTTGTTTGCAAAGTGGATTTCTAGAATATCTTTAAATGAGTATGGATTAACCAAAGCAGACAAAATCCTTGCTTTTCAAGCTTCACCTAATTCATTTACTTGAAAAGTGGAAAAAATTATTTTTTATTCATTTTAAGTACTGTTTGAATGTTAACTGTAATTTCATGTAAATTTGTTTAGGATGTGGTTCTGTTTTTTCCCCCCTGTCTTATTTAGAGCATGACTAAGTTAGAAAAACATCATCTAAGGCAATAGTTTTCAACCTTGACTGCACATTAGAATCCCCAAGGAACTTTAAAAAAAAACAAAACCTCTCTACTTCTGGAGACCAATTTAATTGGTCTGAATGGGGACCTGAGCATTTGTATTTTTAAAAGCTCCCCAGTGATTCTAATATGCAGCCAAGGTTGAAAAACTCTAGCCTCAGGCATAGCTAGTCAATATACTTTTAAGTGAGAAATAAAGCAATTATTTTAAAACACTAGGTAATGACAATAATATTGCAGTTTATTTTCAAATCCATTAATTTCATGTCCATTAACTTGATTGTACATTCATAAATTATTTTATTGCATCTAGAAATACTTTTTGTTCTGTCTATATATTTGTGAAGATATACAAACTAATAATAAATTTTAAGTACCAGTAAGGTTGTCCAGTACAAGGTTATTTTGTTTCAGTCACTCTCTAGTTTAGTAATGGCAGCTTTATATTTTTTTCTGAGAATCTCAAAGGCTTATGTTTTTGAAATACTGTTATAATCTTCCTAAGGGAATATTCAGCATAATTTTTTGCTGTAGGGCTTTAAATGTGAGGAAGGACTAGATGACTTGAATCATTTTTATTTTTCAATCTTATAAATATGGTCATCTTCGACATTGTTATGAAACTACTTGAGATACTTCCCTTCCCATCCACACTCCCAGATTGCCCTCTGACATTCACTTAAGATTTTGAATCTAATATATGAGAAAATAATTTTTCTTAAATAATGATTACAAATTGTGAAACATGGACTTTCAGTGTTTGTAAATAACAAATGCTTGGATCTAAGAATAAAACCCAGCAACTCCCCAAAGCAAGAAAATCTAGTGACTTTAATAAAGTGATCCTTAAAACTTTCAATAGCTTCCACTTATAATAGAGTGCTATTCAGAAAGACTTAACATGTACTGAGTTATGTATTATAAAATGCTTTTCTTCCTGGTCTTTAAGGACTAAATGGGCTGTTTTAATGATAGGAAAATATATCAGAAAGGCAGTGTATTTCAATTTGCTTTTAAACTTGCAGGCATTATGACATCCTTGAAGATCGAGTTCCTTCAGGACTTATTGTTGATTACCGCAATCTGTTGTCCCAATGTGAGGACAGTTATAGGAAATTTTTAAATCTGAGAAGCAGTTTGTCAAATTGTAACTCCGATTCCGAGCAGGAAAACATCTCCATGGTTGAAGGGTTAAAATTATATTCAGAGATGGAACAGTTGAAACAAAAGCTAAAACTCATTGAGAATCCATTGTTGAGGTATGTGTGTCTTTGTTATTCTTAGCTAGTTGGCATCTTTTCTAACCAGCTATCTTACTGAGAACTGATAGGTCTGTTGGTTTCTCTAAGATACGTGTTTGGTTATCAGAAGAATTCGAATATCCAAGCAAAGGGCATTCGTCCAAATGGTCAGAAGGTCACGCATGTGGTCTCCTCCACCATGATGACTGGTCTGCTGCGGTCTCTGCTCAGGGACAGGCTTTGTCAGGAGCCTTGTAAGGAAGAAACAGAAATTCAGGTAAAAGGAGTTTTTTTGCTGCCGGTGGCTTTTTCTCTTCTAATTCAGGCCAGGTTTTCCTGAATTCTACAAAGCGTTTATAGGAGCTTCCCAGAGTTGATTTTTTGTGAAATGGGTAGTAGTGAGAGCCCTGCCTTTCATAAGCATTAGTCACTTACCAAGCACGTGTTGGGTTCAGTGCAGTAGCTGAGGAGATATTTTTTTTAAGTATGTGGTTTTGGCACTTTGAAAGTGAAACATGAGAGTACTTGGAGTGATATGTAGGTTGCTTTTGGGGGTGTATATTTGCAATATGTTGTTGTTTTCTAGTTCCATAGTGATCCATTGTCTGCTATAAATGCCTGCTATGAAGGTGACACTGTGATTGTTTGTCCTGGCCATTACATGGTACATGGCACATTCGCCATTGCTGACTCCATTGAGTTGGAAGGTGAGTCCGGAATATCATGCAACCAAACTCTCTGGCATGATAATGCTTAAGAAAACAGTAAATCACTGGTCTTGTTGAAACTCCAAGAATATGATTAATTCTATTTGATTTCAAATGAATTTCCTTAAAATATTTTGAGTATTTAGGAGAGCCTGGGTGGTTCAGTTGGTTAAGCTACTAACTCCTGATTTTGGCTCAAGTCATGATTTCACAGTTGTGAGATTGAGCCCTGCCTTGGCTCTGTGCTGGCTGCTTAAGATTCTCTCTCTCCCTCTGCCCTTTTCCCACGTGTGCCCGCCTGCCACATGTGTCCTCTCTCTCTGTCTCTCAAAAAAAAAAAAAAATATATATATATATATTTATATGTATATATAAATATATATACGTATACATATATTTATATTTATATATATACATATATATTTATATTTATATATATATACACATATACATATACATATATATATATATATTTAAAGTGTGTGGGACATTGACTCAGTGTTTGAGCAACTTGAGGTATGATTTTTTTGTGGCATTGTATGTGTTGGGAAAACAAGCACATAGAGAAAAAAAGACCATTACGAAGAAGCATATTTTCCAGAATGTAGGTGGTTTATAGAAAGGAAATTTCATTTCTAGAATAAAAACTTTCCCTAGGAATATTTTTTAAGGTTTAGTATTTTTTATTTCCTGCCTACTCTTCATTTCTTATATGTTATGGATGTGTTGATGCATGGTTTTTGTTTTAAATTTAACGTATTTCTGCATAGGTGCAGGTCCAACTTGAAAGTGGACCAAAAATCCTTATCTTATTCATTCTTTAAACTTGCTGAATGTCAAATTCTACTTCGTATCTTGACCAAAGTATACTTATGAGAACATTAATGTTGAAAGATTCTATTAAAAATAACTTTTTAGGCTGTCATAATCTTATTGTACATTTAGAGTGATTCCTAAATTTAGGTTACTTTACAGTTGTTCTTCATGGTCCTGTGTATTTCCATAACATATTAAATTTAGATGCACCTGTTCAACTATTTACCAAAAAAGCTTCAAGTTAGCAATAAAGCTTGTAATGCAAAAAATCATATATCATTTTGGGACTTGTGCAGCTGTTCACAAACTGCTTAAGCTATGCTCTTTATCTTTATCTTGTCAAAACTTCTTAATGGAAGCAAGGCTGGGAGTTTAATTTCCTGCTGTTCACTAGTACATCACTTTACCCCCTTTTTTGTTTTATGTATGTAATTTTGTTCTTTTCCTTCTCCAAATATTTGATATATAATAGATGTGTGTGTATAAATAACACATCTGCAGGATAAATCACTGCAATAAAAACACTTTATTTTTTAGCATAGTGAAAATAGCATTGATATTATAGATTGTATGGTGGATAGCAGTTCTTCCTAGGTTGGTGAGGAAATTAATAATGAAATTGCCAAAGTGTCATAAATAACCATATAGATATCTGAGGATTAAGTGTAAAAATGACTATAGATTTACTAACAGGGGGCATTTCTGAGAATTTGGGGAATCAGGTGGTATATCTAGTGTGAATATATGGAGTACCTGTTCGTGAGTAAGAAGATTAAGGCTTATCTGATAGCTTATCTGACTGATCTATAGCTAACACTTATCACAAGAGATATATAATTGAGTACCTACTATGTGCAGGGTGTTAACAGTACCTATAGTAGGGTTTTTCTTTCTTGTTTAGTACATTTGCTTAAATGATGGTTTTATGTTTTAAATTGCTAAGAATATGTAGCTTGTTAATGTAATAAGCTTAATTTTTTTCCTCAATATGGCAAATTTTTTTAGTTTTTAATTTTTTTGATGATAAACATAATGGTTATCGTAGAAAATGTTCCAACTGCAGGCAGACACAAAAGAAATCAAAGAGAAATTACTTACAATCCAATCATCCAGAGTCCACCACTGGCATTACCCCCAAATATGGAGTCCTCTTGTATTCTTCTTCAGTGCCCCCAAAGGCTTGTCTGTGTCCTTTGAGTACAGAAAACTTTATTGGTTTTGCCTGTTTAATGTAGTGACTGCTTTCATTTACTCAAACAAAGGCTCATCTTAGACATTGAGACTTAGTTCTTACAGCTTTTTCTATGTGATTCCGTTTTATGATGAAAGTCAGACAACTTCTCTAGTTTTCTGACACTCCAGGTTTTGTAAGCCCATTCAGAGGTCTGGCCTGCATTATTAGTTTGGAATTTGTAGAGCTCCATTGTTTTTTATTGGTTCATGAGTAGACCTGTTTTTTCAATAACTGAAATTGCTTTAAGTCCATCTGTCAGGTTCTAAGTCAACCTGTTTAAGAGAATACTAAAATTTAAAAATCTTGAGAAATGCCTAGGATTTTTCAAACCTAATTTGTATTAGAATAATAGGATTTTAGAGTGGGGAAAAAACTTTTAAGGGTTAAATGCATTTTTAAAACTTTTTGAACCAGCTGTGAGTATTTAGGATTATTTACTTTTATATAGCAGTTTTGTAAGCAAATTTAGTGCTGACCTGGTCTGAGATGGTTGATAGGGTAGTCTTCCTGATAATGGGAGCAAATTGAGGAGTTGTTATAATTAAAAATTGTATATCCTGGTTTAAATTAAACAAGATATGTGAGGAGATAATTAGATTTTACTTAAATGCAACTTGGTTGACTGGTCTCAAATATCATTTGTGGTCATTTGAAATAGAGAAATCTACTGTAGCAATTTTGTGTTTAGACATTTCCCCTCAAGCATCTTAAACACTCTTGCTCTCTTCCTTAGGATATGGTCTACCAGATGATATTGTGATAGAAAAGAGGGGCAAAGGAGACACTTTTGTGGATTGTACAGGTGCAGATATTAAGATCTCAAGCATAAAATTTATTCAGCATGATGCTGTAGAAGGAATCTTGAGTAAGTATCTGAATATTTCATGTATTATTTTGTTCCAGGAAGGAAAACTTTACTTTCCCTGGAAAATGCAATTTAATAAACTTACTCTTGAGTATATGGAAGACTGATTAATTATTTATGTACATATAACATGATGACTTAGGAAGCTTACTCTAAAGTAAAAAATAGTTCAGTCTATTCTGAAAATTTGTTAGTTTAATATTGGTTTCTTTGTGATCATTTTTTTCTTTCAAACATTCCAATATTGTGGTCTGTGTTCTTTGTTTTCGAGTAGCCCTAAACTCAATGCAGCTATTTTCCCACTGTGCTGGTATTTGTTTCCTAGGATCTGTATTCCCTTTCTAGAATTGGTCTCCTTTTCTTCTCCCTTCCAGGATACTCATGAAAGTTACTTTCTGATACTTTTTTGGTAATGAAAAGTGCTTTTTAACTTGGTTTTACGTTTCTGAGATCATTCTTTTTTAAAATGCTGCTTTTAGATTTTAGTCATTGTTTTGTAAATTATGAATTTGTAATTCCAATAACAAAGTTTACATGGTGGCTAGTGAAATATTTAGACCACCTAATGTCAGCTCTAGACCATTTCTAATTTTGGAAAACACACATTACTTAAAGCATTTGATTGCATGTTTTCATTCTAGTCATTCATCGTGGTAAGACCACATTGGAAAACTGTGTGCTGCAGTGTGAAACTACAGGAGTCACGGTGCGAACATCAGCAGAATTTTTAATGAAGAACTCAGATTTATATGGTGCCAAGGTAGGATAATCTCTTATCTTTTGGGAAAGAAGTTTAGGTTTAAGTTCTAAATAAGTAAAATGTGGGACCAAGATGTAAAGATGTACACTCCCGTTCTCTTTCCTCAAAGAAGTTCAGACACTTATATACACTAAATCAGCCAGAGTCAATTGTGTAAGGAAGAAAAATAAGAAATCTGACAGTTTCTCTAGGATAACTTTGAGATTTAGACCCTTCACATTTGTTAATTTTGCAAACAGTTTTGTAGCAATTGAAGCTCAGTTGCTCTTTTTAAAAAAAATTTAATGTTTATTTATTTTTGAGACAGAGACAGAGCATGAGTTGGGGAGGGGCTGAAGGAGAGGGAGACACAGAATCTCCGAAGCAGGCTCCAGGTTTTGAGCTGCCAGCACAGAGCCCGATGCGGGGCTCGAACTCATAGGCCACGAGATCGTGACCTGAGCCGAAGTCGGACACCCAATCAACTGAGCCACCCAGGCGCCCTGAGTTGCTTTTTTTAAATGAGACTTTTTATTTTGAGATTATTGCTGAGCTAACGTACTGTTGTAAGAAATTATACAGAATGGTCCTATATGTATACTCTGTACTAGTTTCCCCATAATTGTAACATCTTGGAAAACTGTAGCACAACAGGATAACATGATTCAGTTGAGTATTTCCATCACTCCAAGGATCCTGCATGTTGCCTTTGATAGCCACATCCACTTGCCTCTCCTTCAGACCTCTTCCTTAATCACTGGCAAACTTTAGTCTCTTCTCCATTTCTATTATTTCGTCATTTCAAGAATGTTACGTAAACATAATCATACAGAATGTAACCTTCTGGGATTGGCTTTTTTCACTCAGCACAGTTCTCTGGAGATTCATCCAAGTTGTTCCAGGTGCAAAGTGTTTGTTCTTTTTTTATTGCTGAATAGTATTCTAGCATATTCCAGTTTGTTTAACTGTTTACCCGTTGAAGGATATCTGGGTTTTTTCCAGGTTTTGGCTATTGTAAATAAAGCTGCTGCAAACATTTGTGTACAGGTTACTGTGTGAGCACTTTTCATTTCTCTGGTGTAAATGCCCAGGAGTGCACATGGTAGCTACATGTTTACTTTTTTTTTTTTAAAGACACGGCCAAACTGTTTTCCAGAGTAGTTACACCATTTTACATTCCCATCAGCAGTGTTTGAGTGATAATAGTTTCTCCATATCCTTACCAGCATTTGGTTTTTTAAATTTTAGCCATTCTGATAGGTATGTGGTTTTACTTTTCATTTACCTAGTGGTTAATGATATTGAACATTTTTTCATATTCTTACGTGCCATCCTTCTCTTCAGTGAAATGTCTATTCATGACTTCTGCCCATTTTCTAATCGGATTATTTGTTCTTTTTTACTGTAGATTTTGGAGAGTTCTTTTTATATTCTAGATACTAGTCCTCTGGTGGGTATTTGGTTTGCAGATTTGTATGCTAAACTGTAGCTTGTCTTTTCATTTTCTTCACTTGGGCTTCTACAAAGAAAAGCTTTAAGTGTCAGTGAAGTCCAATTTACTGATTTTCCCTTTTGTGGGGTAGTGCTTTTGGTGTTAAGTACAAGAACTCTTTGCCCAGCCTTAGATATCAAAGATTTTCTTTTATTTTTTTTCCTAAAAATTTCATAGTTTACATTTTACATTTAAGGTCATGATCCATTTTTTGAGTAAATTTTGGTGTAAATATGAGTTTTAGATTAAGGTTAATTTATTTTTTTGCCCATAGATGTCCAGTTGTAACCACACCATTTCTTGAAAAGGCGGCTCTTCCTTTGATAAATTGGTTTTCTACCTTTGTCAAAAATCATCTGGAAAATTTGTGTAGGTCCATTTCTAGGTTCTCCATTCCATTCCACTGATCTGTGTACCTGTCCCTCCACCAATATCTGTTACTGTATGTTGAGTCTTGAAATCTGATACAGTGATTCCTCCCACTTTGTCTTTTCCAAAATGGTTTCAACTATTCTGGTTCCTTTGCTTGTCAATATAAGTTTTAGAAAAATATGGTCTCTGTCTACAAAAAATCTTGGTGAGATTTTGATAGGAATTCTAATAAAACTGTATATCAATTTGGGGAGGATGGACATCTTTTTTATGTTGAGTCTTCCAATCTTGTGAACACTCTCTCTCCCATTTATTTTCATCTTTGATTTCTTTCATTAGCATTCCATAATTTTTAGAATACAAGTCTTGTATGTGTTTTCTTAGATTTCTATGTAAATATTTCATTTTTAAGTGATTATAAGTCATCTCATATTTTTAATTTCAATGTCCATGTGTTCATTGCTAGTATACAATTGACTATTGTTTGTCACATATCCTGTGACCTTGCTGACTTTTCTTATTAGTTCTAGGAATGTTTTTGTAGATTTCTTGGGATTTTCTACATGACTATCATCATTTGCAAATAGGGACAGTTTTATTTCTTCCCTTCTGATCTGTATGGTTTTGTTTCCTTTTTTTTTTTTTTTTTTTTTTTTTTTTTTTTTTTTTTTTTTTTTTTTTTTTTTTTTTTTTTTTTTTTTTTTTTGCTTTATGGCACTGACTAGAACTTCCAGCACTATGCTGAATAAGAGTGGTGAGGGTGGACATCCTTACTTGTTCTTGGTATCAGGGAGAATGTATTCAGTATAAGGTTAATGATAGGCTTTTTGTAGATAATCTTTATCAAGTTGAGTAAGTTCTCTATTTCTCTTTTGTGATAATTTTTGTAATCACTGTGTGTTGATGTTTGTTAGATGTTTTTCCTTAATCATTTCATATGATTACATGATTTTTCTTTTTGGAAGAAAGAAAATGGTGGGTTACATTAATTGATTTTCAAATTCTGAACCAGTTTTGCACCCCTGGAATAAACACAATTTAGTCATAGTGTATATTTTTTAATATATTGCTGTAATATATTTGCCAATGTTTTGTGAGGAATTTTTACATCTGTATTCATGAGAGATATTGGTCTGAAGTTTTCTTTATTTGCACTATCTTTGTCAAGTTTTGTTATCAGGATAATATTAGCTTCATAAAATGAATTTGGAAGTATTGCTTCACTAATTTGTATTAATTCTTTAAATGTTTGGTAGATTTTTCCAGTGAAACCATCTGGGCCTGGAGATTTCTTTTTTGGGAATTTTAAAATTATGAATTCAATTTCCTTAACAGTTATAGGGCTGTTCAAATGACCTATTTCATACTGAGTGAGTTAACAGATATGCTGATAGGTTACAGAGCTCCTGTGGATGGGTGCCAGGTCAGTGGTGAAGGGCTCTCCTGTTTGGTGGCAGTGGCACCAGTGACTCCTGGAGCACCATGTATTATATGTACCACCTCCCACCCAGCCCGTTAGGCCTCACACCGGCCTGAGGGGGCAGGTGACCATTTCTTCTGCTAAGTTGTCAAATTTACAGGTATAGTTATTTGTGGTATTCCCTTAGTCTTTAACCTTTTGATGTCTGCAGGGTCAGTGCTGGTATCTCATTTCATTCTTGATATTGATAGTTTGTTATAGTCTTATTGGTCCCTGAGGCTCTGTTCACTTTTCTTTTTCAGTGAATTTTCTCTGTGTTGTTTAGGTTGGGTAATTTCTACTGTTCTATCTTACTAGTTCACTGATTCTTTCCTCCTTGTTTTCCTTTTTGCTGTTGAGTCCATCCACAGAGCTTTTTATTTCAGTTATTTTTGAGTTCTGAAATTTCCATTTGGTCTTTCATATCTTCTGTTTTTTTCACTGAGACTTTCTTTGTGCGCCTTTAATTTTTCATTTAAGTATGTTCGTAATTGCTTCTTAAAGCCTATTTATCGTGGATGCTTTAAAATCATTGTCAGCTAATTCTAACATCTTTGACATCTTGGTTTTGGCATCTATTGACCATCTTATTCAGTTTGACATCTTCCTGGTTCTTGGTATGACAGGTGATTTTCCATCAAAACCTGGACATTTTGTACTACATTATGAGAGTCTGGATCTTCTGTTTTAGTTTAAGTGACACCCTTACAGGAGGGGATGGGATGAAGGGTACTGCTGGTGGAAGGAGGTAGAAGCCCAGGTTCCCCATTTTAGCCTCCATTGATACTTGTTTCAGTGGGATAGCTCTTTGTTACTGCTGGGAGGGGATGGAAATTCTGGTTTCCAGCATGGTGCCCACTGACACTGTGGCCCATGACAGTGGCCTTGTTACCACTGAGCAATGGTGAAAGTCCAGACTTTCTATCAGGTCTGCTCTGATACTGCTCTAGTGGTGAGAGGGAGTGGCATCTTGTGACTGTTGGGTGGGAGTGTGTAGTCTCCAGCGATGCTGCTAGGGCCTTGTTACCGGCTGGTGGGGATGCAAATCCTGGCTTCCTGCTTGGCTTTCTCTGACACCACCCCATTGGGAGAGTTGGGGTGCCTGGTTACAGCCTCCAGAAGGTGAAAGTCTATTCTCTCCTCTTAGCATTTGTCAACATGGGGATGGGCCACTATTTTTGTCTGTGGCGTTTGACTGGCATAGAGCTATAATTATCTGAAAGTCTTCTGTCTTTCTAAACTGCCTGGTCCTTTGGCTAGAGAGTTCAGGCTTTTTGGAAGGCTTTTCTGGTTTGTGTCTTGTGTTTATGGATTGCCAGATTCTTCAGCTTCATGTCTGGGGAAGAAAGCCCAATTGGAAGATTTTTTTTTACTTAGTAGAGAGTTAGATTAGCCATCTAGCCATATGTGTTCTTGTATCCCCAAAAGGGGAATTAATAATAAATATTTTCTCATGGTTTACTACTACTCTTAGAAAAAAAACTCAACATATATGTGGTAGGTGTCTTATAAATGGTTAATAGCAGCTCTTCTTCATGTATGATATTGTATATTAAATTATTCCCAAAATGATTTCTTAAATAACTATAGAGGTTTGAGTAAATTATTTTTACTTCCCAAAGTGCTTAGTATAGTTTTAGGAAGTAAATTATTCCTGTTACTGTTACTTAATTGGTACCATGTGGTCTCAAGGGACACTGTGAAAGAATTGTGCCATGCATGGATCTTTCTGGTTACTTTGTTTTATTGAGTCACTTGAATTGGTTGCTAATTTTAACATGTGTGTACTAGTGGAGGCTATTAATTGTTTAGCTCATAGAAGTGATTTTTAGGTTATGTTGGGATGTTTTAAAACTAGTGTGTTTTTAAAAATATCAGGTCTTCTTTCTATACTTAAATTGCAATATTTTACTAGACTCAAATACCATTCTCCAACTAATTTAGTATCTCAGGATGATCATTTTGAATAAGTGCAAAATTGTCAAATATTTTGTTTTTTTTTTATTTGGCAGAATCAGAAAACTGACTTATCCAGAATGAAAGGGAGTGGAACAATAATCAAGTGTTGATCATCTTAGCCAGTGTTTTGTGTGTGTCTCTGCGTGTGGTTTTTGAAAGTGATAAATGATAGACAACTTGCTGGAAATGGAGCAAATAGAAATGTTGATTAGAAATATCTAATAAAACTTTCTGTAAAACACTTTATATTTACACTGTGTTAAGGTTTAAGAAATGATTGTAATAAATCTTCTCTTGTAGTCCTGCCTTAAAATACTGATTGTGATACCTTGAAATGTAACTTGTAGGGTGCTGGTATAGAAATATATCCCGGGAGTAAGTGCACCTTGAGTGACAATGGGATCCATCACTGCAAGGAAGGGATACTCATTAAGGTGAGTGTACCTGCTAAAACACCCTCTTTCCAAAGGTTAGAATGGTTTCATCTAAGAAATAATTGTGTTTTGTTAAATTCCCAAGTTGAGTTCTATTGTTTGGTTTTGAAAAGCACAAACAGTACATACATCTTAATAATCATCTTGATATCAATAGTTGGTGATTGAGGGTCTTTTGTGAGAATACTTTGCTATCTATAGATCTGCAGAAATGACAGAGGAATGCTGTGTCATTCAGAGCTCAGACTGTGCTACAACATATTAATAAGCATAGCTTTCTACTTTATTTTTAGAATAGCCTGAAAACAGTGAGAAGATTTTTAAAGCAGGCAGTGTTGAATGTGACAGTTCCTTAAAACATTTGTTTTCAATGTCACAGGACTTCTTAGATGAGCATTATGACATTCCCAAAATATCCATGGTGAATAATGTCATACATAATAATGAAGGTTATGGTGTTGTCTTGGTGAAACCTACAATCTTCTCTGACCTGCAAGAAAATGTCCAAGATGAAACTGAAGGTATGTTTTATTTAGTGATTTTTAAAAATAAAAATGTGATCCTAGTTTACTTTATTTCAGCATTAAACTCTTATTAAGGATCTGAGTCTTCCTCTCCTTAACAAAGATAACTGGCATATACTTGGACTCTGAGACAGAGAAACTTGGGAAGGCTGTAACATTGTAGACTCTCAGGGTGAAAGAAACTTTCAAGGTCAACTAGTTCACCTATTCATTCAAAACCCTGGTGTGTGGTTTCTGTGGTCCTGAGGTTCTCTTCTTATCATGCTTGGCTTTCTGTGCATTTATAGAATAAAGCTGAGCATATGATAGAAATGGTGGCTCCTGCTGACATTTGTTAAGGATGGAGGCAGAGAAATGCATGTGCCAGATTGAAGGCTGCATTTACTGGAGGGGATTGTGGAGTTTGTCTCTATTTTTTATTGGCAGAAGTAAATGCCTCCCTGTTAACTATCTTTCTTGGCAGGAAAACTGAGCTCAGTAGGAAATTTGTGACTTTTAAGCCATGACCCAGATTACTGTGAAATCTTAGTCAGAGAGGGATTATGCATTGGCATGGATGAGGAAAGTAGTCCTCGTCATCCATAAGAATACAGTCTAGTTATCTGTGAGTTCTTTTTCTTCTCACAGTTATGTAGGTCAGAAGTCCAGGTGGGCTTGGCTGCATTATGTGCTTAGGGTCTCAGAAGGGTGAAGTTAAGGGGAGTGGGCTTTGATCTGAGAGTTCTGAGGGGGAAATCTGCTTCTGAGCTCATTCATATTGTTGGCAAAATCCATTTCCTTGAGGTTGTAGGACTGAGGTCTCCATTTTTTTTTTTTTTTTTTACAATTGCCTGAGGATTGCTTCAGCTTCTAGAGGCCACTGTCCAGTCCTTGCCCCCATAACCTCCTCTATCTCAGCAACTTTCCTCAAGAGAAACTTCCTTAAGGCAAATTTTGTTCATGCCTCAAATCTCTCATGTTTTGAATTTCTTCATACTTTCCTCTTCTTCATCTAGCCAGAACAAAACCCCAACTTTTAAAAGGTCCAAGTGATTAGATTAGGGACACCTGAATTATTTCCTTAGAGTCAGCTGATTAGTAACCTTAATTACATGTGCAAAATCCTTTTGCCACTTAACAATCCCGAAAGTAACACCAGGGGGGTGGGCATCATAGGGGCCATCTAGAATTCTGCCCCTCAGTAAGCACTCACTTCTAATGCTGGCATTAGCTGCTAGAAGGAGAGTTCCTTTGGGAATAGTGGCACTCTTACTAATCTTTGTGTCTATCTCCTAACACCGTGCTTATAGTAGGTAGTCAATATCCAGAAAGGGTCTGTTGAGTGAATGAGATTCTAGGATAAAAATAGAAAATAATTCAAAATTGGTAATCCTGTATGAGGGTCAGAAAGTCTTGGTACAAAGACTAAGACAACTGCTTATTGAAATACTTATGGCAAAGAGTTCATGGAATCCAGTCAGATGACAGCAGGAATCGTTGGCAGTAAAAACTTAAAAGCTTTAATTAGAATATAGAAATATAGGGGCACCTGGGTAGCTCAGTCAGTTAAGCATCCGACTTCGGCTCAGGTCATGATCTCGTGGTTTGTGAGTTCGAGTCCTGCGTCAGGCTCTGTGCTGACAGCTCGGAGCCGGGAGTCTGCTAGTCTGCTTTGGATTCTGCGTCTCCTCTCTCTTCCCCTTCCCTGCTCATGCTCTCTCTCTCTCTCTCTCTCTCTCTCTCTCAATAATAAATAAACATTAAAACAATTTTTTTAGAATATAGAAGTATATATATTTTTTGTTGCGTTATTTTGTACATTTTACTGTATTTGTTATAATTTGTTTGTTTCTTCAGAAAATAGAGCACTTAAAATTCCGACAAGTGAGGAGGCAGACACAGCGGAAAGGGTGGATCTAGAAGAGCTGATTCAATGTACAACTGGCAAAATGGAGCTTTATGCAAGATCTAATCTTTCTGAGCAAGTGGAAGGCAACTGTGAAATTGTAAATGAACTAGTTGCTGCCTCCACACAGAAGGGTCAGATGAAGAAGAAAAGGTTGAGTGAACTGGGGATCACGCAAGCTGATGACAACTTAATGTCACAGGAGATGTTTGTTTCAATTGTGGGGAACCAGTTCAAATGGAATGGGAAAGGGAGTTTTGGCACATTTCTTTTCTGACCACCGTGATATAAATAGATAGCAAAATATTGGATTTTGCACATGCTGCCCTGAGAATCACTGCTGCTATCATAGTTTGCTTCATGTCTGTATTTTATATTTGATATATTTGATTGGGTTCGAGTGAAATGTACATCTATTTCTATCTGCAGGTGTTGCATATGAAACATTCCCTTTTATAAGGAAGGTCATAAAAACATATAAAATAGAAAATATTTGAAGATTTCTTATCCAGAAAGTCTTGCTTTCTCAAACACATAGTTCTCTCATATTATTAAGCCTATCAGTAACTTTCTAGTGTAAATACACTTTTAACCTAGCACTTCAAAGAAGAAAGGGAATGCAAGATGAGTGCACAGAAATGCAGTAGGTGTCAAATGTCAAATGCGCAGTGTTCTTTACACTTGTCTTTTTCTCCCAATTACAGCAAGTCTGAATTCCATGATATATTTGCATACTACTTGTCTTAAAATAAGTTTTTATTATTAGGAAGTTATCTGCATAATCAGACGTACTATTGAGAATTTGAGTGGGATGCATTTTTGTGTTGAACAGTGTAATCATCAAAACAGTAATAGATAGCATGGCAGGTTTGAAACAGATATGAGATGTGTTATTCAGAGCCAATGCATATGTAGAACATTTTCACTGTTGCTGAATATGAATGATTAAAAAGAAGGTGTTTTTCTTTGACCATAACAGTATTCTGATCAGATTTCAAATATCTTACACATAGTGGTTTCTTTTACAACCTGTATCAGCTCTGTGTTCTTGAATATCATATTGTAAGACACAGCTTTTAAAGATATTTATATTTTTAAAAAGTATATGTGACATTAATATGCTTACTGATTAAAATTAAAATTATGAAATAATAAATTGAATCTTGTTCTGTTTTTCCAGATGCATTATGGGCCATAGTGCTGTAGCATCTGTGGTCCTTTTGGAATGCACACAATGGAATGACCATTGAAAGGCATTTTTCTTTTCCTCATTTTAAATCCTATTGCAGAGGTAATGCTAATTAATTCTGCATAAACTTGACCCAAATACTGATTTAAAAACCATTTATTCAATGTTTAAAAAAATCAAATTGGTTTTCCAATAAAATTTCTTTATCTTGGAGTTTAGATTTCATATATTCTCTTGTAACTTGGTAGAGTGTCAAGAGAATGACAAGTAGCAGGGTAAGTAAAGTTAATACCTTCTTCGTTCCTTTTTATAGCATGATGGTTTTTAGATTTCATTTCTATCTCAGTTTAAATCTAAACTTACATTCATTTTAATTCACATGATAAGTTATTAGTGAGTAGGCCTAATGCATTCTTATTTAAGTTATGTAGACCACATTTTGCCTCAGTCGTGAAGATTTGAACACCTTAGATGACTTAGTACAGGGAGTCAAAGGAGCGAGCTCTGGAAGGATGTGGATTTAACATTTGAGGTGAAAACACTGACATGGAAAAGGGACTATCTTCAGTGTTGAATGAATTATATGTCCTTTTTGGTCTACTTTTAGTGTAACCTTGAATTCATGGCAGGTAGCAAAGTTCTGTACCTTGATTTGAGTATTTTCTTTGAGATTTCCTAGAAGTATCTCCTTTGGTTTCTTATTCTGTAATTATGCCACAAATATATACATGAATGTATTTTCATTTATTCAGCCATAGGTAATTTGTTCTCAAGTGTGTCTACCCCACTTTTCTAGAACTTCTGCAACTTCTAGTTGTAGGAGGTTGAAGAAATACCCACTTTCCAGATTTAGCTCTTCAGAGGGAGGTTGAAGAGACTTACCTATAAAACTTTGATGAGCACCTAAGGAGTAATCCCACTTACGTTGCTTTGTAAATCAATTTGCTGTTTTTTAGTTCTATTACTTTCTAGGCAAAAAATTCCATAGACTTCTATGGAAATTGATGATTCGACCTTGATGTAAATTTATATATAGCATTTAATTTTATAACATTTTATTCTGTGATTTAAAAAATCATATGTACAGGGGCGCCTGGGTGGCTCGGTCAGTTAAGCATCCGACTTTGGCTCAGGTCATGATCTCATGGTCTGTGAGTTCGAGCCCCGCATCGGGCTCTGTGCTGACAGCTCAGAGTCTGGAGCCTGTTTCAGATTCTGTGTCTCCCTCCCTCTCTACCCCTCCCCTGTTCATGCTCTGTCTCTCTCTGTCTCAAAAGTAAATAAACATTAAAAAAAAAATCATATGTACAAAATTTCTACAGTCTTATATGTGTTAAAGAGAACATTCTCTTTTCCCAGTTCTCACTGTTAATAGAAAAGTATATATCCTTTGAACACAATACAAAAGGCCTAGTATATAATGTTCTGAAAATTACTTTTGCTGTTTTCTCTTAACATATTATAGAAATCTATGTCTATATATGCAGATCTATCTTAGTCTTTTTATTGATTGTGTTATACTCCATTGTCAGAATTCTTTCATTTAAAGTGATTAAAAACCTAATTCAGACAGGCTTAGAGGGTTGGGTCCTGGAGCCAGGAGGTCTGAAAATGAGAGCTGATTTGGGGCATAGTTGGGTGGTTCTATCCTTTTAATTTTGCCTTTTCTGGTCTTGGCTTCATCTTCAGGTTGGCTTTTTCCATGTGGTGGCAAAGATGGCCTTCAGTATCCCCAGTTTTTATGGTCCCAGAAGGCAGAGAGACTTTTTAGCATCTGGTTGGTTCTGCCAGCATTTGCTTGTCCTTTGACCAGTCACTATAAATGGTGTCTTCTATTCTCACTGAGTCACATTTCTACCCTAATGAAGAGGGATGGAGCTTTGTGATCAACTCATTCTCCAGGTGGTGAAAGAGAAATTTCTAAAGGAAAAGGGGTTCTGTTACTAGAAGCAGATGAAATGACTGCTTTTTAGGCAAAAACATAGATGTCTGGCTAGAGATGGATGAGGTATAACTTAACCTATTTCCCTGTATTGATGGGGAGTCAGACTTTCAGTTTTTCATTATTACAAATAGACACACATAAAAGAATGCTCAGTGTAACACTTGGGACTTCCCTAAGATTTTCTGTGGTTAAGTTATTGGATAAAGAAGACTTCCAGTTGAAGGTTATAGATTTAAATTTTGATCGCTATTGCCAGACTTCTCCAAGAAATTGAGCACTGGTTTATACTCCTGCCCACAGTGTATGGGAGTGACACTTTGCCATATTCTGATAATAGCAAATATTGTCAGTTAAAAAAAATGCTTATTCATGAGTGAAAAAAATATTTGGACTTGTGTTTATTTGATTAATATTATTGGTTTGACATTTTATCATTAACTATGTTTTCATGTATCTATTTTTCTGAAAATTGCCTGTTCATATCCTTTACCTATTGTTCTGTTGGGTGGTTTGACTTTGTTATTGATTAATAGGAGTTTTAGATACTGCATTTTTTTTTAGTATTTATTTATTTTTGAGAGAGAGAGGGAGGGAGGGAGGAAGGGGCAGAGAGGGAGGGAGACACAGAATCTGAAGCAGGCTTCAGGCTCCAATCTCTCAGCACAGAGCCCAATGTGGGGCTCGAACTCACGAACTGTGAGATCATGACCTGAGCCGAAGGCAGATGCTTAACCAACTGAGCCCCCCAGGTGCCCCAGATACTTATGTTTTAATCCTTTATATTGCAAGTATATGTATATACACACATACATATATATAGTATACATATTACATATAAGCATACTTAAGGTTATATATAAGAATATATATATATATATATCTTGAGCCATCTGAGCTTTATGGTATTTTGTTTTACTGAATTTTTAAGTTTTAATTGCAGTCAGATCTGCTCTTCTGGGTCTTGTGTCCTGTTTACATAGATCTTACCAGATTAAAAAAATATTTTGTATTTTAGTACTTTTATAACCTTGTTTAATTAATCTTGTTAATTCATCTTGTTTAAATTTACATTTCTAATCCATTTGGTTTTGTGTGTGGTATGACATTGAACTCTTTTTCTCTAAATGGTTAGTGAGTTCTATCCATACCATCTACTGAATGGTTCATTCTTTTCCCACTTACTTGGAAGCATACCAATTTCCCCTGTTTGTCTACTTCTGACACTCTGGCTTAAATACTACTGGCTAATAATCTCCAGCTAAATGTATATTCTGTTACCAGGATCCAAATCACTAACACTCAATCAAATGTGACTGGAAAAACTCTTTTCTCTGACAATACCTTCCATATATCAAGGTGTTTTCCTAGTGAGATGACTTAGGGAAAATGTAGTCTCACTCCCACTCTGTTCTCATTTTTCAAAACCTTCTTGGGTATTGAACTTTTTTTTTAAATCAGCTTTTATCAGCTTTTTTGATACGAAACATTATCAATTTTAGGTATACAATTCTCTGGGTCTTGACAAATGTCCTTAGTTGTATAACCACCACCACAATCACAGTATTGAATGTTTCTATCATCTCTAAAATTCCCCTCATTTTCCTTTGCAGTCAATCCTCTCCCCCCACCCTTGGACCCTGGAGATTATCTGTCTGCTTTCTGTCACTATAGTTTTGCCTTTTCTAGAGTTACATATAAAAAGAATGATTCAGTAGGTAATCTTTTGTGCCCATCTTCAGTTTAGCATAATGTGCTTATAATACATCTGCATTGTTTCATGTGTCAGTAGTTTGTTTCTTTTTATTGTTGAGTAGTTTTCCATTGTGTGGATATTGAGTATTGTCTATTCATTCACCAGTTGATGGGCCACATGGGTTGTTTTCAGTGTTTGGTTATTATGGATAAAGTTGCTAAGACTATTTGGGTAAAAGTCTTTGATCATATGTTTTCATTTTTGTGGGGACAAATACCTATGAGTGGGATTGCTAGTGCACATTTTACTTTGTTGGAAAATCCCAAATTGTTTTCCAAAGTGGCTATCCCATTTTACTTCCCTACCATCAGTATATGAGAGTTCTAGTTGCTTTACATCCTTGCCCAATAATTGATATTTGATATATCCTTTAAATTTTAAGTTTTCTTT